AATAATTATAATTCATAATTGACCTTTACATTGTTATTTATCGCCTTTTTTATTTCTATATTTTCTAATGAAGACAATTTTTGGTTATTTGAAATGCTTGAATGTAATACTTTGGAGTTGCTAAATCTATTGAACGATTTGATGTCGAACAATGTTCCAAGATTCTTAGAGTTTATAAAAAATGTTTTGTCAATATGCGTGACACCTTCTTCTTTCACATCACGTTCTAGCGTTATGATCATTTTTAATCGAGTCATCATGTTTCGTCGCGGCACTCACCTTCGAACGTGTTGCAGAACGCTTTTCGCGTCGCGTCGCGTCGTGTCAATTTGTCACCTAAAATTTGCGTAAATGTTCGTTTCAACTGCTCCCTTCTCGTTTGTTGGGCGCACACGTCAAAATTTCCTGCGTACAAGATTAATTGTTATTCGGGTCTCGTATAAAAGTGAAAACGTGTTATCCAGTGGAAATCGGCTAACTGTAATATGCACATCACCTTCGCATCTTGTTCATTCCCTTCGACTCGTTGTACTCGTTATATGTAGCTACGATGGCGGATTGTAGGAACCTATTGCGTTAACCTCGATAAGGCTTCGACAGCTTTCCCGGCATTTCCGGTGTGTATTTTATGTTAACGTGAATGATAATGGTATCGGACGCAGGCAAAGATGTAGAAGCGCTTCGAGAGTTTGAAAGCTAAAGTAAACTGGCGTGCTGAGTGAGAATTCGCTCACGAAACGCCAAGTAAATAATCGTATTACCCTTGAAAGCGTACGAATGCTGAGTTTTAATCACAAAGGATTTTACATGTATAAGCGATGCTACCATAATCCAATTTAAATGAGAAAGACAACACATTTATTTTGTAACATATGTTCCGCTGGAACATTAGCCTCATCAAATGGATTAAGTACTTACTACTGCTACTACTACCTACAAATTAAATCTTTGAATTGAATATATTAAGAGGTTGAATTGGATAAGTTAATTAATATGAACCCTATACTGTCTTCTTAAATCAGATTACACAAGATTACTATCCTGTTCTTCTAGTGGTTTCATTTGTTTCAGTAGGTATACTCAATCAGACCCATTAAGAAGTAAACTCAAAAGAAAATTCAACATTAAAAATAGTTTACAAGTAAATGAGAAAATTAATATTGTAAAAATCCCTTCTAACCGAACGCGAAAATTATATTATATTCAAATTTATAAGACAAAATCCGTAGCTGATTAGAAACAAAATAAATCTTGTTGGGGAATCGAGATGTATTATTCATATATTTTTAGTTCGGTAATATGTCTTTTATCTTTATTAATACACATAATATATCTTTTTTTATACATATATCGGTGTAACGATTATTATTACTACCATTATTATGAAAGTACTCGTGTGCGCCTGGCAGGAGGTACGGTTATTGCCTTCTTTAAGTCAGTATTGGTTTGGACAGTCAAGAGAGTGCAGAACTGTTTTACACCATCATTATAAGGTCGTTAGTCCCAAGGTTGGTTGGACACGCAAGCACTCCACTCTTTGCTATCCTATTCCGCATTTCCCTAAAACTAGAACAACCCACATCCTTAACTATTTCTTATTGACTTCCATAGAGTCTTGTTCTCCTATTCTTTTTAATACCTCTTTATTTCTAACCTCCTCTATCTACGGTATTCTCATCATTCGCCTGTAACACCACATTTCGAACGCTTCTAAATTTTCCTTTTTCCGAATTTCTAAATTAACCGTTCGCGAGCATAGAAGTGACTTCTTTTTATTGAAGGCGACTCGGACCCTGCCCTATCCTTTGCTTTATATCCCTATAACTTTTTCCATCCTGACATATCTGACTTCCCAGAAACCTAAAATCAGCCCCTTTTTTTAATTTTTCGTCTCCTATCTTTCCCTACTTTTTCTTCCTTTGCATATCAGTATTTTTTTTTCTTTTATTTATTTTCAAATAGGACTGTTTTATCAATACCGCTTCCATTTTATTAAAAGCTATCTCTAACTCTTCCTTACTAGATGCTAATACTGCTAAATCATTTGCAAATCTAAGCATACTAATCTTTTGTCCCTGTATATCTATCCCTACATTTGTACTGTCTTTAATGATGTTGATCGCGTCTTCAATGTATAGATTAAAATGTAGCGGTGACAGGGTGCATCCCTGTCTGACTCCCTTCCTAATATTTACTTCTCTACGTTGCAGCTCTAGCTGTATAACTGCATGTTGCTATTTATACAAACTAAGTATCACTCTTCTATCTTTGTAATTCATCCCTACAGTTTTAAGTATATTTAACATCTTGTCCCGTTTGTTTTACATACATTGTCATAAGTAATTTTACTACCAGATACTTATATAGTGCGATTAAGTTGAAGTACTCGTCTGGTAATTTGTGTACCCGTGACCCGTGAGAGATATACGATTGTAGCATCATTTTGTGATTCGGTCACCTGAAAGGAATGTGCGACATACCCGAGTGGAATATGCGATTATAATCCCCGGCGAGAAAATTCCTGTTCACTGGGACTTCGCTAACGTGTAGGTAATTATTATACATTGATATTTATACGCATGAAGGTAATAATACAAGAGAACGAAAGTCTTTGACAAAAATATCCTAGAAATTTCGAAAGTATTTTGAGGCGCTTTGATCGCAATCTTGTTTCAATACCAGTTAAGATGAGCCTTTTTGCTATTGCCTATTGGTTCGAGAAAACTTACTGACCGCTATCATTATCTGTCATTTCTATAACATTAATTGGACAGACGAACTAATAACCAATGTATGCAACACATAATGTAGTTCTCGTTCATTTTCCTTAATTCTAATCTCCATGTTTACACACGTAATTACGTAACCTATTAGCGTGACATCGACGGTTAAGCTTCCGGGGAATCTTTGTTTACATAGGGAAACGTGGCGTAGAGTGGGTTGTTGAATGTTAATGTTTGTAGTAAGAAATAACAAAATCTTTTGTTCCAACTATATATACTCTGCACTCTGTCACACCTTAACTTATGATGATGACTCTGTATCGATCACTTTTTTAGCTATACATATAATAGGTAATAATTTGATATTTTCAAGATTCTATCTAAAAGTACTCAATACCCCGTTCCGATACATGAATGGGGCGAGACAGAATATAAGCTATAAACCGAGTACCTAGTTTATGTGACTTTACCATACAACTAGTCATCTCATATTTTTCAAAAAATTTTATAAGGTCACTTATATAATTCACATTTAAAAACAATATCGTCGTCCTCGACATCAATTCTGGCTCATTCTTTATGAGCTCTCTCGAGACCTAATTACTGTAGAGATCTCTACAATATCGGCATGGTGCATTGGCGCTTCTTCAGAGAGGTTTTTGATGACTTACCAGTCTCATATTTGCTTCTTGAATTATTCATATTTCCTGCAGATTTTTGTTTCTTTGTTTTGTTGTGATACTTTTATTATTTTCCACTTCCGCAATGTTTTGTTTTACTAAACTTTTCTGTTGTTGTTTTACATTCTTCTTAATCGTAGCTTCTTTAAATCATTTTTTAAGAGTTGAAGTCAAAAGCGTTGTCTTTCTTCAATTTTTGCTTTGATAAAACGTCTGAAGAAGGAGCGTGAACAAAATGAGTCGAAGTTTTCGTGTTTGAAGTATCAGGAACATCGAGATTAGGAATATCTCTGAAAATGATCTAGTTTGGTGAAAACTTTTAGATATATATAGGTACTAAATACCTGCTTCATGGAAATGGCTTATTACTACAAGTTTCATTGTTTCAGAATTAAGATGGTAGACATTTAAAATAAATTTACTCTCCAGGGTGGCATCGTAACTAGGATCTTATTTCATGGTCTACAGATGGGGTTCACAAACTACCTGTACTTATTTATAGAATCATGCTGTTTAACTGCATCAGGTAGGTAGGTAGGTTGGTCTGTGTTCTTACAGTGTGTCAACAAGATCCTATGAGATTGAATACTGACCACCAAGAACTTTTTGTTTTTTTATTAACAACTCATTGAATAAGCAACTTTTATAACTACAAACTTGCGTTTCGAAATTGAGTTAGACCTGCCTGTCTCGCGCCATACACCCCTAGCTTCGGCGTCATCCGCTAGGTGGTCACACCTCAGTAAGCATTTAGCAGGCGGCGGGAAATCGCCGCGGTTAGTATATAAGAGCATTGATTTCCTTCTGATCCTACCGAGCGGCATGGCCCAGAGGTTTAGACTATTGCTTAGCATTCGGGAGAACGCCGGTTCGATTCCGGGTCTGTCTGCCTTGTTCCAAGTTTTTCTGTTGTTTTCTTGGATTACATAGACAAATGCTGAGACAGCAATATTCCACAGATAATATTTCATTCTATTTTGTCTTTATTCCGTTCGTCTCATCATTCTCACCCGAACCACCACCTACGATTCCTGGAAGAAGGCTGAAGAGGGCCTTCCGCCCTACCTTTCGGCGTAGTCCGGAGGGACTGCCCGTCCACCAGCATTAGCGGCTGGTGGAAATGAAACACCCAAAATTTTTTTTTTGTTCCGCCCCACAGGTCTCCAGATGTTTAAGGCAGAGAGTATGTCGTCAGACTTACTGATGAGTCCAGGCGTGCCCTAAGGATGAAACATCTTTTCTCAGCCTTCAGTAAACAACGAGATATCTAGATTTGTAATCTTTTTCAAAATAACTTTCTAATAGTTGTTAGACAACGGTCGAGAGACCGAAACAATTGTAAGAAATACTTAATTACAAACCAGTAAAATGATTTACACAATATTTAGTGTTTCATTGAAATTTAAAATAATAATTGTTAAAGATGATTCGTAATTTCCCAGTCGCAAACACAGTGTTTAAAATTAGAAAGAATCATATGATAATAACATTTTCGAAAACTGTAGATGCTCATGTGTTTAATAAAAGTACGAAAACATTTTTGAAATCGTTCAATATTAGAAAAACGTTTTATTAGTAAGAAAACAGTTTAAGGCTTTCATTTAGTACAAAAGTATAAATCCCTAGTGATCTGATCTACTCTGCATCTGAGTACCTAGTAGAGATATCATTGAGAGCCATGTATCTGACAAGATCGACAAGTCTGTTAGCTGAAGAATAATTCTCGTCAAACCAAGCTACCAATTTGGCGAATTTCTCGTTCAAGGAACAACCAACTTGTACATCCAAAATAGCTGATGCGGGACAATTTATAATATCGCTTGAGACAACTTGCTCTTCGGTGAATGTGAGTAATCCTTTCATAGGGCCGCAACAAGCTGCTGTTTTTATGGCATTCACCATATCCTTGTAGCATGCAGACTTGCCCACCCTCACGGTAATGTCGACGGCAGATGCGTTCGAAGTTGGAACCCGAAAAGCGAGACCACCCACTTTCCCAGAGATACGCGGTAAGACTTTCTCGATTGTTTTTGCAATTCCACTATAGGCTGGAATTATATTATGTTGAGCTCTACGCCCATCTCTCCAAGACTTCTCTGATGGTCCATCGACAGTTTTTTGATCGGATGTTACGGCATGGATGCAGGTAACAAAAGCTTCCACCACGCAGAAATGGTCATGAAGGACCTTTTACAATACACACAAAAATACACTTACAATAACTTTAATGCAAAATAAAGACAAATCGAAGTTGCTCCATAAGAACAAGCGGATGCAATATCAAGTCATGGCAGTAGGCATATCGCCACTTACTGGTATTTACTGCTAACTCGTATTTCTAAATTGAGCTTAGGCAACAAAACACGATGGGTAAAATCAATCTTATTACCAAGACTAAGCTACATTTACATTGGCAGAACTAAAACTAGTTGTTAATAATATAAAACCAGACTAACAGCTAATTTTAAAAAATGACTTACAAAAACGACAGCTAAAAACGTTTTGCTGACAGAATTCCTAAATGTATCCACTAAATTGATAGCGAACGTAAATAATTTATGAAAACCTCGGAAAAAGCGTATAGGTGAGGCTGTTGAAGGTAGTTTAGAATCTCGTGTGTTATGACCTTGGGTTGCGCAGTGACAAAACTCCGCCTGTTGATTGATTTCCACATTTACAGTCAACAGTAGGGTGAAGTGTAAAATACGAATGTAATTGATTTAAATTGTTAATTTTTTTCTATCTAAACGAGCTACTATTACCGAAAATTGTTTGTTCTATTAAGTATTTAATTCTTTTCTTATAAGTCTCCAGAACTATAAAAGATATAGGTGGTGTTTTCTAATCAAACTAACTTACAAAGGTAAATTGTATTTTTATCATTCCAGTGCTTGGCCCAAGCAAGATCCTTAAAAACATAGGCCTAGCGCGCACTGCGATTTTTTAGTCGCCGCGACTAGGAAGTAAAACCGCACTTGCGACCAAATAATCCCAGCTTTTAATCATTTACGATATGAGCGTCACAGAAATAATGTGTATTGTCGAATTGTTTTTTGTGAATAAATGCTAATAATACTAAAAGGAAGCATAAGAAACAATATTGGCTGCTTCCCATTCATAAATCAGAGATTAGTAAAACGGCAATTTTCTTTTTCAATTTCCTTTGCAGCAGAAGATTTATTATACGACATGTTTAATAATAGATGATCATCAGTGGGTTGCGACAGTTTAGTCGCAAGGGCGCGCGGGATCATTGCTGTCCGTACGATTCATTCTGCGTCGGTGACAATCGCGCCGCAAGAAAAATAGGATCAGTTGCGACATGCACTTGCATTTACTAGCATGTGTTACAGTTTTGCGACTAGAAAATCGCAATGTTCGGTAGGCCGTAGGATGTAATTTTGCCGATGAATTTACCTATGTAACATCTCAGAGCCTAAACAAAGCAAGTCCCTCAAAAGTACCACCCCGCATGACTGAATAACTTTTTACATAATTTTTTATCTTATTCCATAATGTACCTGCATTAAATTGATAAGTGGTTATGGAACTACTATACACATCGATTGCGATTTAGAATTTCTCTTTTCTGATTAACACGCCATAGTCAGTCCTTTGAATCGTAAGGTCATCAGTCCTAAGACTAGTTGGACACG